TTTGTGTACCGGGCTATTAATAGGTGCAATGAGTCCTCCTCTGTTTATGACAGAAAAGATCTGGCCGTCCACGTAGTGTTCGTACGAAAAAGGTGGTCAAAGCAGTATATTTATGTATTAAACTAACACACTGTAAAAGTAATAAATGTTATTTGCAATAGATTTTTTTTCCTTTGTCTCAGTATTTATGACAAGACTAGGTATATAGACTGGTGAACGATCTCACTGCTCATCTTGTATTGGATAGTAACTGGAGCCCATACATACACTTCATAACGCGAATGCCCTAATCCAACTTGAAACATGAGTTTTAATTGTCTATTGTGTAGTCCAACGATTACCCCACTTAGAGCAGAAATAGGCAGGATGGTGTTACCTATCCGTCCGCGAACACAGGAAGCCTTACCACCAGTATCTTTTTTTATTTTTTATTTATTGCTTAGATGGGTGGACGAGCTCACAGCCCAACTGGTGTTAAGTGGTTACTGGAGCCCATAGACATCTACAACGTAAATGTGCCACCCACCTTGAGATATAAGTTCTAAGGTCTCAAGTATAGTTACAACGGTTGCCCCGCCCTTCAAACCGAAACGCATTACTGCTTCACGGCAGAAATAGGCAGGGCGGTGGTACCTACCCGTGCGGACTCACAATTCGTCCTACATCAGTAATTACACAAATTATGGGATTGATTTTTATTGCACGATGTTATTCTTACATCGTGGAAAGCATTTGTGAACGTGCGCTTCGTACGTATTTCATTAGAAAAATTGGTACCTGTGGCCTGTGGGATTTAAAAACCCACAATCAAAATAGCATCGATTGATACGGAGTGCCTAGTCCGGGCGTCTTATCCTTAAGCCACTATCAGTAACGTTCCGTTTATGACTATGTATAATACTGTATATTGGGATTCAAGGAAAATTGTCAATCATCATAGTAATAGAGCTAGCAAGAGTTATTGCCGTCCTTGAAAAACTGCAACGCCAAGATCTGCCGTGCTACTTGCTCGTTTGAAAAAATACATAATTTGCACTCATTATAGTTTCGTACAGTTTGGTTTAGCTTAAATCATTCAATCAATTTCTTTTATAATCTATAATCAGCCCGGTAAATAACCAGAGTCTCTTCGTCCACTAATAAAATTTAGAACGGGCCTATCAAAATATCAGCATCTCAATTCGCTATTTTTAATTTAAATTATTAGTATTTTATGTGTATACATATATTACAGTAGTATTGGACGTGGATAATTTATTTGGCAGCTGCGAACACGGACATGTTTACAATTTTCTTGCTGGCATCGTTTTCTTGAGTGTTGAATGTTGATACGGTCAAATGTCACAAATTATTGTAGGCTAAGCGACACATCAAAAATTATTGATCAAAGAGAAACGTCTTTTTTTTTTGCACATGAGAAATGTTTCCTGTCTCTTTATTGACTTCTCATACTCATTTTATCGAGTAGTGTGTTACATTATTTCTTTTTTTTTTCATCAACACCATTCTGTTTTTATTAGGCGTCTAATTTTATATTTTTATTGGGTATTTAAATTAAGTCTATGCAAACATTCGAATTTATATATACATTCTTAAAATANGAAACGTCTTTTTTTTTTGCACATGAGAAATGTTTCCTGTCTCTTTATTGACTTCTCATACTCATTTTATCGAGTAGTGTGTTACATTATTTCTTTTTTTTTTCATCAACACCATTCTGTTTTTATTAGGCGTCTAATTTTATATTTTTATTGGGTATTTAAATTAAGTCTATGCAAACATTCGAATTTATATATACATTCTTAAAATATGCAAACACCACACGAAAAAAAAATTAAAAAGTTATTCACACTTACTACATAAATTAATAATATATTCGTAATGTTAAATTGTACTTGCCTATAGATCCAGTCGCACGTCAAATAACATTGTTTTTTTAATTTAAACAGCAACCAAATTGGGCAGCAATTAAATTCATTACTCGCGCATCAGCTTTATATAATACTGACGCTGTTCTATAGAAAACATTGTTTTTAGAAGATTTTAGACGGACGACGGATCGTGCACGCGGATTGTACGTTGTTCAAATTGTTTTTTTAATCTAAAGAGTACCCAAATTGAGCGGATGTAAATTCATTACTCGCGCATCAGCTTTATAAAATACTGACGTTGTTCTACAGAAAACATTGTTTTTAGAAGATTTTAGACGGACGACGGATCGTGCACGCCGCTTGTACGTTTCTTATCTAGATACATTAGTTTCCAATGTGGGATTATTTTATTGGACGATTTTTGTTGTAAAGAAAAATTGTTCATTAATGTATACTGGTTTGCATTAGCAATTAACGATCAGCTGTGATAAATTGTCAAACTAAATTTGCGTAGCTAAAAATGTCTTTTATAACATTGAAAAATATGGTTGTAGTGCCAGTATCGATTTTGTGACGTCTAGAGATTGGATAGAGTTTTTTCCTCATAAGCTTGTTTCCCGAATACAGAGAACATAAGAGATCCGAAGAGAAGGTTTCGATTACCGATCAGAAAGGCACTTACATCTTTGCGTTAGCTATTTGATATTCGATGTCTCGTACGTACAAAGAAGTACACCGTATTTATTTGCTTACTTCCAGAATTCATAGTAAACCCTAGCTTGAACCCGTTAGCGTATAACGTTAAAGATGTACTTTTTACCCAATACTGAATACATGATAGCGGTAGGCAACGGCTTGGCTCTGCCCCTGGCATTGCTGAAGTCCATGGGCGACGGTAACCACTCACCATCAGGTGGGCCGTCGGCTCGTCTGCATACAAGGGCAATAACAAAAAAAAGTGATTCCGATTTTGTTCTCATTAACGTCCGTCAATCTTCGGCTTTCATATGGACAATGGAAACAAACTCGTTCGTGATACTCGCGTGCTAACGCTGGCGCCCGGCCAACGAATCGACCGAGACGGCCCGTCATTGTCACCGTAGCAACTTGCCCCGAGCCTTGCCCCCCCACTACGTCGATCACCGCATTATTCGAATGTTCGAATGTTCATAAACAATTGTGTACTTGACATTCTTAATGCACCACTGCTTCCGTATTGTCTGCGTTCACTAAAGTTTTTAAATATTATGAGAGTAGTTAAATTTTAAGCGATTCCATAATTACGTCTGCGTAATTAATATTGGTTTCGTATTATTGTTTTTTTTTAAATTGCTTTTGAGGGCAGACTAAATTACGACCCAGCTGGTGGCAAATGATAACCGCTACTCACGCACATGGATGGCAGTAATGCCAGGAGCAGGAGAAGGAGGAGGAGCTGCCTTTTTGTATTTGACTTACTTGTAGTAGTGACTTTTGAAGTCGTCGTGGCCTAATAAAATGCACCGGTGTTCGAATCCCGGAGGCGGGTGCCAATTTTTCTAATGAAATACGTACTTAACAAATGTTCACGATTGACTTCCACGGTGAAGGAATAACATCGTGTAATAAAAATCAAACCCGCAAAATTATAATTTGCATAATCACTGGTGGTAGGACCTCTTGGGAGTCCGCACGGGTAGGTACCACCACCCCGCCTATTTCCGCCGTGAAGCAGTAATGCGTTTCGGTTCGAAGGGTGGGGCAGCGGTTGTAACTATACTGAGACCTTAGAACTTATATCTCGAGGTGGGTGGCGCATTTACGTTGTAGACGTCTATGGGCTCCAGTAACCACTTAACACCAGGTGGGCTGTGAGCTCGTTCACACATCTAAGCAATAAAAAATATAAAAAATATGATTTATTAAATAGCAGGAAACTACGTTTGGAAACAGTATCCACAGTTATATTTTTTTAAAAACTGTCTCAAACAGTGAACATTTGAAACATTAAATAATCGCACGGAAATATTTCATGCTACCCAGTATAACATGAAAGTAGATTAACATTGACAACGTTTCAAGGCATCCACATCTGTTTACACACGGCAAACGATTAATCGAATGCGTTATTTACGAAGATTGTATTTTAAGATGGAAAGAGCACTGGACGGCCTCCGTCGTCCGCTCCAGTTGAGTCCGAACAAAAAGTACCAGAGAATCTTAATGCTACAAATCAAAATAGTTGTTACACTTTTTTTTTAGACTTTATTAATAGTTTGCAATATACGAAGTAGCTTAAAACTCTTAGAACTCATACCATAAGCTCCTTACAGACAAGTCATAAATTGCCTGTGACATGAATCTTAAAAAAAGTATACATAACAATTTTAATAGTAAAAGAGATAGGAATAGTTTATTAGCCATTAACGATACGACATGCATTTTGTCGTTAGGATGCGTATTTGTATGTACTTAACTTTATAACAAGGTGCCATGTGGCGCCCTTGTTAAAAAATCTCAACACATATAAAATTACTAATTTAACGACCGTCTGGTGTAGTGGTAAGTGACATGGTCACTACACATGGGGGTCGCGGGTTCGAATCCCGCCAAGGAAAGATATTTGTATGATAAATATAAATGTCTTTTTCAGGGTTATGGATGTATATTAAATATATGTATGCGTATAATAAAAATCTTACATTTATTTCCGCTATCTGGTACCTGTAAAGCAAGTTCTTTACGAACTTATCACGGGACCAGTTAACGTGGCGTGATTGTTAGTAAATATTTATTTATTTATTTATTTATTATTTATTTACTAAGCATACGCATTCAATGAAAGTTCTTATAGCTAGTTTATATTGTCTAATAAGGACTGCTGTTATTTTGTGTAAAAGTCAATTTTGAAGAGATTTAGATTTTCTATTATTGTTCAAACTCTGTCTCATTAAGATTCAATGAATCGCCTCCTGAATAAATGCCATAATTGACTAAAACACTAAGTGACCATTTTTTTATTCTACAAGAATGTATCGATCTATTGTATTTATGTGTCTGTTGACAGTAAAAGGTCAGTTTGCTTATTGATGTCGAATCGATTCTGCGGGTCTTTTTCTTATTTATTTTTTTAATTGCGTTCTTTTGCAGACAAACAGATTCGCCAGAGTACATTGGATAAACTATGGAATAAACAGTCTGGTGGGATTCAGATGCTTCTCTCTATTTTGGAAGTAAGTATTGAAATTTTATTGTTACTGTGTGGGAAAAAAATTGTGTTTCTGGTTTTTATATACCAACGCTTTTCTTTATTATTTTGTTTTCATTTTTATTGTAAAAATCAATAGTGTGAGATTCGTAATAGGAATTATGAAGTTGTCGTAATTTAAAGGATAAGAAGCCCGGTTCATTAGCATTAGAACTATGCGATTGTGCCCGCGTTCGAATACCGCATGCAGATACGAATTTTTGTAATGAAATCCGTACGGATTCGTCCATTAACAATTTTTTTTTATTGCTTAGGTGGGTGGACGAACTCACAGCCCACCTGGTGTTGAGTGGTTACTGGAGCCCATAGACATCTACAACTTAAATGCGCCACCCACCTTGAGATATAAGTTCTAAGGTCTCAAGTATAGTTACAACGGCTGCCCCACCCTTCAAACCGAAAGGCATTACTGCTTCACAGCAGAAATAAGCCGGGTGGTGGTGCCTACCCGCGCGGACTCACATGAGGTGTACCTAACACCAGTAAAATGTTGACGTATGACCACCACGCTGAAGGAATACCGTTAAACTCACAAATATTATAATTTCCGTAACTAACGGTGAAGGTACCACCACTGCCTATTTCTGCTAGGTTTGAAGAGTGGTGAAGCCGTTTTACTGTAAAACTAAAGCTTAGAACTCAAGTCTCAAGTTGGATGGCGGCATTTACGTTGTTAATGTGTAGTTGTAGTATTGTTGTGTGTGGACCGTGAGCTCGTTCACCTCCAAGGAAAAGAGGGGAAAAAGTAGTATAATTTACGTGATTAATGAATTTTAATTTGCAATTCATTGAAAATCGCTATTTTATGTTTGATAGTCTTCAAGAGACACTCCAACTTCGACCTACGTAACGGCTATTTTGAGAGAGACGCTATGCTTGAAACAAGGAAAAGGAAAGAAGTGTGCAGGTACTTGAACATTTAACATAAAGTACTTATTATTTATTGAAATGATAATATTTGATATGAAATAGTTTAAATAAACAAAAAAAAACGTTGATTAGTTTGTTAGCTAGGCACACCGATTCGATCTTGATCAGGATCTGGAGAATATCATCAATATACATAGTCGAATTCAATAATCATACACTATTAAGGATTATTCATAAACTACTGGTCTGATAATGATAAAATTTAAATGAGACGATATGAGAAGCACGAAGTTTCAAGAAAAGTAAAGAATCATCAAAATCGGTTCGTCTAGAAAAAAGTTCTGAGGCGACACACATAAAAAACTACCTCCTTCTTTTGAAACTCGATTAAAAAGCACATATTTTCTGGTGTTCAGTCATTAGTGAATCCGGAAACAAGAAGAAGGAAACCAAAAAGATTGGGAAGGAAAATAAGTTTGGTTTAGTCAAGAAGGGTATGTCGACTTTGTGGAACAACGTTTGAAAGCTTGTACTAATCACAGAAATTAATAGTCTTCTTATGTAAGCAATAAGACCTTTAAAAAACCTGGATCAGTCATATAAAATTATCTATTCAGTTTTCTATCTTAATTTGCACCGCTCTATATTTATGAGACCATGTCACTATTGAGACACCGTGGCATTTCAGTAATCGCTTTATCGAATACACTTTCTAGTCGGTAGCTGTCCTGCCTGCTGACATTTAAGTCGAGCTTATTCAGTTACGGCTCGACATTGGACTACTTTACAATATGGCCTTGCCGTGAATAATGTTTAGCCATTCGAAGTTCAATTGTCAAGCTACTTTACTACTGGATTAAATCAATTAACTACTGTCGCTTTGGCACTAACACTGAACGCCGCCTACGTTTTTAATGTTTTTTTAATTGTGTGCATTTGGAATTCAATACTCACGAATGCTAAACATGGAAAATATTTTGACAATTCCAGCAAATAACCTCGCCCGGCAGCAGTGTGCTCAGCAGTTCATATCCGCGAACGGTACTCAAGTTATCATTCGTACATTATTAGCGACGCACGGTAAACGAGATGGAAATGTTGGCACCGAGCTAATGCTGCAAGATCTTGTGTGGATCCTCGCGGCACTCGCGCCAAAAGGTGAACGCAATTCTGCTCAACTTAATATCTTTAATGAGGTCTATTAACACTCCCATAATACAGTACTGATAATAATTATTTTCATATCTATTTTGATAAACCCAAATTTAAATATTGAGATGTTTTTTTCAGATCCGAAATTCGCAATGAAAATTAGAATGCTGGGATGCGTCAGGACTTTACATCTAATACTAAAAGGACATTTTACTGACAACAAACTCGTTTTTCCTCTTTTGGTAATAATGAAACAACTAGCCAAAAACGGTAAGGCTCTTATATTAATCACTACATAGTATAAAACAAAGTCGCTTTCTCTGTCCCTATATCTGTCCATATGTATGCTTAAATCTTTAAAACTACGCAACGGATGTTGATGCGGTTTTTTTTAATATATAGAGTGAGTGAAGAGGAAGGTATATATGTATAATAACATCCATTAAATAGTGGAGAAATCAATAATAAATTACAGTTTCCGAAGCGAAGCGAGGGCGGGTCGCTAGTTAAATATAATTTTCGTAACAAAAACATGACAGAGTAACGAATCCATTTCAGCTGTTACGACGTCGATTTTGATTCGTGATGGCGTTATCGGTACCTACGAAAGGGTTTTGGTGAGCCTCGGTTTCATTCCCACGGCCAGACTACGGTTGTGCCTTGATGCCATTGACTACTTCAGCAAGAATAGTTGAGTGAACCACTTTATAAGTGCATATCCATCATGTGTTACGTTATGTAGCGTGAACGTTTATTATATCTGATAGAGAAGAACAAATCGGTCACTATTATTATATCCAATGCTAGACAATCATGACACTTAGTAATACACAATCGAATGATGTAACTCACGTAGACAATACACAACAGTCACGCCCACGATATAAACATTCGTAGAGATCACTAGCATTATAGTGTATTTACATGTTGATAGTTAATGTTTTTGGTTCAATGTTGCATGTCGAATGCTCGATGACTATGTCACATGTGAATGACACGTGCATAACTCAGCAGAGGTGTGCTGCATGCAGATCGTGAAGACAGGCCTGTGTAGCGTCCTCCTAAGGGTGTTCGATCGATGGGATCGATACGAAGGTCGAATGAGACTGAAGATATGCGCCCACATACTACAGACGCTACAACATCTGTGTAACATCAGTACGTATTCAGAAAACACCTTAGATATCCGTTGAATGTTTGAATGTTTGGAACCTTTGACATTAGAATATGAATACTATTATGTTTTTTTTTTCTTTCGGAAATAAGATTGTGTGCAATATTGACCGAAATCATAATGAATGCAGGATATGTAATCTGTAATTTATTACTGGTGGTAGCACCTCATGTGAGTCCGCACGGGTCGGTACCACCACCCCGCCTATTTCTGCCGTGAAGCAGTAATGCGTTTCGGCTTGAAGGGTGGTGCAGCCGTTGTAACTATACTGAGACCTTAGAACTTATATTTCAAGGTGGGTGGCGCATTTACGTTGTAAATGTCTATGGGCTCCGGTAACCACTTAACACCAGGTGGGCTGTAAGCTCGTCCACTCATCTAAGCAATAAAAAAAAATGTAACTAATCAGTACATACTTTTAAAATTCGGTAAATCTCGTAGGCGGTTTTTTTAAAATACGAATACGTAAATGGTTTCTATATTTTTTTGTATAAATAAAAAAATATTTTCCAGAGGCAGGTCGTCGAGCTCTGTGCACTAAGAAACATGTTCAAGCGCTGCACAGGTTCTGTTCGCAATGTCCCGATGAACCGGAGTTTGACGGTCTCCTTGCGAGGGTGTGTTCTGTGATTACATTATGTCTAAAGCATCAAGCTTTACCAGTAGCTGCTGCTAGTCCAGCTACGTTCAACCTGAATCCAATTTTAAAAGGTAATGAATAAAATAAAATCTCAATAGCAATAATGATAATAATTCTAGTATTATAGCGTTCTGTTCCCATTCCACGACGCCCTTCATACGGCCAATGATCGGAGACGCTGGCGGGACATTACAGGGGGAGCAAAATCCTGTCGAAATATAATGGTCACGACCCTCAGTAGTGAGGAAACGACGCGAGGAGGAGGATAACGTTCTGTGCGCCTGCGCAGTAGTAAATATCAATACAATACCTATCTCTGGCGCGAACCTGTCGTACATTTTGAGATGTAGGATGCAAAATCTACTTCGAGTCTCAAGATGCGTGGTGGTATTTATTTTTATCTTGTATTGGATCCCAATAAACATTTAATGCCAAGTGCGTTGAAATCATGTGTCACCAATTTAAGAAAAAATAATAATTCGAGGTACTTTTAATCGATTAGGCTAATCTTTCCATTTAGCAGACAACTATTTGCTTTAGGTACAAACGCATCATGGCCATGTCACGAAGACGAGGAAGACGCTGCTAATTCGGATTCCAAAACAGTTAACTCAGATGACGAAGACAGCCCGGATATTGACATCGATGCTATAGACGAATTTCCTGACATAGAATATGATGATGATACAAAAAATGAAAGTATGGAAGTATTGGATAAGATTAATATTAAAAATGGTGATAGCTTGCAAAGCGCCTTATGGATTAATCCTAATGAGAGAGATTTTGAAGACTTAAAAAAGTAAGTTGATATTGTGAAACAGATTAAATACTCGTCGAACAGATGATGTCCTAACAATTTCTAACGAAATATGTACTTAGCTCATGTTCACGAATGACTTCCACGGTGAAGGAATAACATAGTTTATTAAAAATCAAGCCCGCAAAAACTATAATTTGCGTAACTACTGGTGGTAAGGCTTCTTGTGAGCCCGCACGGGTAGGTACCACCACCCTGTCTATTTCTACTTCTGGTGGTAGCATTTACGTCGTTAATGTGTATGAGCTATGGAGCCCGCCTAATGTCAGGTGGGCCGTGAGCTCATGCACCTACTTAAGCAACAAAAAAAACTGGATGATGAATGAATACAGAACAGAGACAGCAGTTCTTCGATCTAAGAGAAATATAAGAAACTGTTGCTGAAAAGAAGTAGATTAATAATCCGGGTTCACTGTTGTCTATTAACTGTTGCCCAGCAGAGCACTATTATTCAATAAGTTTAACGGGGACAAAGGAAATAATGTTGGCAAAAATGAACAAAACACTATTAGGTACTTTACTATTTGCAGTATTATGTATTTTAGATACTTATCTTATATTTTTCAGGTATTTTATATTCTTCAAAGAATTTGGTTCCTATAATAAGCAAGCCAAGCTCGTTAAAAGCCGGTCCAATTCCCGCGGATCTATTTTAGAAGACTTCTTAATCAACCAAACCTGTTGCAATAGGAACGTTTCCTCTGCACTAAGCCTCTCAATATCTACAGTTTTGGGAACAACATTTGACAACGTATTGACAACATCTCAATTACCTACCTTCACGCAAAGCTTCAATAAGATTCATGAGGTTACTTGTAAGTGATTAGTATTTATTTGCATTGAATGTCTTCACAACAAAGCTAATTCAATTTGATCTAATCCAAAATATATTTTAGCGACAACATCTTGTTCTACTTTGAAGATCCATAAAGACATTTCCAAATATAGTTCATTTGCCTCAGTATATTGTACAATATCCTCAAGAGTGAAGAGTGTAATACCGTTTGTGAAGGTTGCGTATCCCGACATGACAAGGGGACTGAGCATCACGCACCCAGAGCCTTTGAATAAAATGGAAAGGACAGCTTGCAGGTAAATATAATTTAAATAGTAATTTGTTATCAGATACTCTTAAATTAAATGCCGTTAACTGGAAGTAGCATTCAATTTTCAGAAAATATCGTTTATTGCATATGATAGTAGAAATGTACGTTAAGCATGTAAATTAAAATCTCATTACTAACTAATATCAAAATTTACAACTTTTTTTAACATACTTTAAATTTTTAGAGCTAAATTATTATCATGTGTGGACCGAGCAATAAACCCTGAAGCGTATATGAATGAAGTAGTTTATGATTTAGACCAGCTCTGTAACTCAACAAATAATGTCGACGCTGCCACACAAAAAAGGTAATAAATACTTAATGCTGAAATTCCTATCTAGACATACATACATACATACGTACATCTGTTACTACGGTGCTATTAAATCTGTGATAGGTACAAATATTTCTAAGTAAATTTATACCTACCCTCATTACCGCGACGAAAGAGAAACAGTTTGTAAGTACGTATTAAAATAAATCCTTAGTCGTAATATGATTTTTATAGCGTAGACTATCGTAGAACTGAAGGTATTTTCAATAACTCGAATTTCACTAACGACATTTTCAAGAAAATACAACAATTGGGCTGTTGGTCTATCGATCAAAGTCTGAGTGTGCTAGTTTTAATCTTGTTTTAGCACCGATAGCGACAGGCAAAACCTCTGCTTAGAAGCCGTTTAAGGTTTATTTAAAAAAACCATTAAGGTGCTTATCCATTTAATCTTGACAGTAAAATTTGTTATTAATAAATATGTTAATGTAATATAATATTCACTAATTCCTCATTTAATGGTTTAAAAATTTTCAGTTGCGAAGGTTTATTACTGAGTAATAATGATGAACAAGAAATAACGAAAGTAAACAATTTCTCTTCTCGATTAAGCTTTGAATCGAGATTTGAATCTGGAAACCTCAGGAAAGCCATTCAAGTAAGCGCCCTAAATTCTTTAATTATCTCGTCATATGAAAACAACAAATCGATGATAATGAAGAATTTTATCATTGAATAGATAGGCCCCAGAGAGTATGAGCTCGTGCTCATGCCGGACGTGAACTCCAATAAAAGACACCAGTGGTTCTACTTTGAAGTACGTAGCATGCAACAGGGAAGACCGTATATATTCAACATCATCAACTGTGAAAAGTCTGACAGCCAATTCAATTTTGGAATGAAGCCAGTAATTTATTCAGTGAAAGAAGCTGTTTTGGGTCGACCAGGTACGCATGAGCTATGTCATCGGAAGTAAAAACCTAATTCAGCAATATTTGAAACGATTCCTACTATTAGTAACAGTGAGTGAAACTATAGTGAGATTTTTATTCGAAATTGTTAATGATTAATACTGTTCATCTAAAGATCGAAATTTCACCATCATTAACACCTTGTTCTCTTTGGTTTTGTAACTGACATTTCAAAGAAGAAGAAAAATACCTATTTCGAAAAAATGTATTATTATTTAGAAATGTAATTTAGATTAACATGTAATATATAATACAACATATATACAAAATGTAATATATATACAAAAATACTAAAACATTCTTCCAGAAATAGCTCAACAATCACCCGGAACTTTTTGAGTTACTCGTCGTGACGTTACTCTGATTACTCGTATATATTATTATTCAGTTCCATCACACAGGTTGGACGCGAGCCGGATCAGATATTTGCTACTACCGGAACAGCTACCACTACGCGAACCAAAAGAACCACAACAAATGCTACCTGACTGTCACGTTCAACATTGAGTTTCCACATTCCAATGACGTCTGCTACATCGCTTACCACTACCCCTTCACCTATTCAATGATAATGGTAATTTTCGTGGATTATATTTCAAAAATCCTTAATTATTAAATATCGCTTCCTAAAAGAACTACTGATAAAGAACTTCCTAAAAGAACTTGAAGTCGTCGTGGACTAAGGGATAACACGTCCGGTGCATTCGTGTTGAGCGATACACCGGTGTTCGAATCCCAGGCGGGGGTACCAATTTTTCTAATGAAATACGTATACGACAAATGTTCACGATTGACTTCCACGGTGAAGGAATAACATCGTGTAATAAAAATTAAACCCGCAAAATTATAATTTGCATAATTATTGTTGGTAGGACCTCTTGTGAGTCCGCACGAGTAGGTACCACCGCCCTGCCTATTTCTGCCGTGAAGCAGTAATGCGTTTCGTCTGAAGGGTAGGGCAGCCGTTGCAACTATACTGAGATCTTAGAACTTCTATCTCAAAGTTGGTGGCGCATTTACGTTGTAGATGTTCATGGGCTCCAGTAACCACTTAACACCAGGTGGGCTCGTCCAACTATCTAAGCAATAAAAAAAACAACTACTGATATCGTTACCAAGAAGTATTGTTATTGTTTAAGCCTTCAAATTTGCAGTTTAAACAATTTATTATAGAACGCTATTTTTATTACTTTAAGCCATAACCTGCAAATTTACTGGTGATTATTTGGTATTATTATCTCTAGAACACCATAAGAACTGTCTGCCCATCTACAGCATTAAAAAAATTTAATTCTCTTTGAATATTATTGATAACATTCATTTACATTGTATTTTATTGTGCAGACTCGTATTTGGCAATGGAGCCTGCAGATGCCTCCCGGTTCGTATTTCCGCGCTGAGCCTCTCTGCTACTCTTTGAACAGTAATGAAGTACCCTTTTTAACTGTATCTGCCGAGGACACGCCATCTAATCCAATAGCGGTATGTACCAAGAAAATAAATAGCTTTTCAATATCTTCACAGCGTGAAACGAAACGCATATCCTCGTTTTTTATGTTATCTGTGCTTTTTTCACTCAATCACGACTTTGGCGCCTTTTTTATAAATTTTCAATACCGTACCTATTTTATCTAATTATTACTGTCGGACTAAAAATATATAGGTAACGTCACTTTCACAAAACCCTTTTTATTTGTCCCGACCGTGGACAATAGCTGATAACTCTCATTTTAAATTACATTCAGAAAATTATACAACCATTTTATGAACAATTACTAAGCAATAAAGTATTACTTTTGAGTAGTTAATTGATTGACAAGCGTTGACTAACAGACGTTATATCTATTGTCATCGTGGTTTAGAGGTTAGACCGACTAGACGCCTTATGTACTCGTACCGAGCAATGCGACTATTGTACTACCGGTGTTCAACTCCCGCCTACAGGCACCAATAGGTCCATTGAAATACCTTAACTTATGTTCACGAATGACTTCACGATGAAGAAATAACATCGTGTAATAAAAATGAAACCCGAAAAAATTATAATTCGCATTTTGTAATTACCGGTGGTAGGGGGCATCTAAGCCCGCACGGGCACAGTCTTCCTGCATATTACTGTCCCAAAGCAGTCGTGTATTCCGCTTTGTGGGGTGGGGCAGTTGTTACTCTATATATCATTGTTATGTCTATATGCTCTGTTAACCACTTAACCATCAGGCAGGCAGTTAACTTGTCGTAAAACATACACGTACACGTACGTAAACGTAAGCAACTGTTTTATTTTTGCTTAATTATATGTATAACGAAAACTTATCATATATACCTAGTCAGGTCATAAGTACTGTCACACAGTAAAAACTTTTCTTTTAGAATGCTGGCCACAAAAAAGTTTATTGAATTCGAATTTCGAATTGTTCATGAAAATAAAAATGTATACTTTTAGAATTTTACTCATTTTTAAATATGGAGTGGACGCTTAAAGGAGACCGTGTTGCAGTTATTGCGTTGCATCGTTGCGGTTACGCGCCAATTCAAATTTTGGACATACTGAAAATTTTGAATATAACCAAAAGATTCGTTTATCGTACCATCAAACGATACAATGAAGACTCTAGTGTAGATGACAGGTCAAGAAGTGATCGCCCTCGGTCTTTTAGGACTCCAGCAGTGATAAAAGCTGTGAAGGCGCGAATTCAAAGAAATCCCAAACATAAGCAGAAACTGTTGGCCCTTCAGATGGGGTTAAGCAGAACGACGGTGAAAAGGGTGTTAAATGAAGACTTAGGGCTTCGGGCATATCGAAGAAAAACAGGACATCGTTTGAATGCTCGTCTAATGGACCTGAGACTCTTCAGATGCCGCGCTTTGTTGAAGCGGTACGCGGGAAAAAAATATCGGGAAATTCTTTTTTCGGATGAAAAAATTTTTACCGTAGAAGAGAGCTACAACAAACAAAATGATAAGGTGTACGCACACAGTAGTGAAGAAGTGAGCAACCGTATTCCGCGTGTCCAACGAGGTCATTTCCCATCCTCGCTCATGGTATGGTTGGGAGTTTCTTATTGGGGCTTAACAGAGGTACATTTTTGTCAGAAAGGTGTAAAAACGAATGCAGTTGTGTATCAAAATACAGTCCTGACGAATCTTGTGGAACCTGTTTCTCATACCATGTTCAATAACAGGCACTGGGTATTCCAACAAGATTCGGCGCCAGCTCATAGAGCGAAGAGCACACAAGACTGGCTGGCGGCGCGTGAAATCGACTTCATCCGGCACGAAGACTGGCCCTCCTCCAGTTCAGATTTGAATCAGTTAGATTACAAGATATGGCAACACTTGGAGGAAAAGGCGTGCTCAGAGCCTCATCCCAATTTGGAGTCACTCAAGACATCCTTGATTAAGGCAGCCGCCGATATTGACATGGACCTCATTCGTGCTGCGATAGACCACTGGCCGCGCAGATTGAAGGCCTGTATTCAAAATCACGGAGGTCATTTTGAATAAACTTTAGTGTCATAAGAATCTATGTTTTGTTAAGTTCATTTTGGTTTATGAATGGTTACATAATGAATAAAATTATTTCAATTATTTTACATTAAACCTGTGACATAATTTATGACCTGACTAGGTATATTACTAGGTTTTGCCCGCGACTTCGTCCGCTTGGAATAGTTCACAAATAATGCTTTATTTTAGAACAAATTTGGTTAGCATAAAAAACATTATAGTGAGCCAACCTTAACATATAGACATATGCTGTCGCGGACTTTTTTTTAGTTGTTTTAAAGGGAAACAATTCTGTCATACATTATTTTAGCGAAACTTTAACCGTTTCTGCAGCGCACGCAGCAGAAGCTCTTAAAAGGAAAAAAAAAACAATTTTGAAGCATTCTTTATTGGTGCTCCGCTTGTATTGGTCTTAGCGTGATGTTACATAGCCTATCTTTCCTCAGTAAATGGGATATCTAACACTGAAAGAATTTTTCAAATCGGACCAGTAGTTCCTGAGATTAGCGTTCAAACAAACAAACTCTTCAGCTTTATAATATTAGGATAGATATAAGCAGACCAGTCTTAAACCGATTATTTGTTTCATTTCTATCTAGGATCGTGAAATAGTATTTCTTTCTGCTCGTGTCCACCCTGGCGAGAGCAATGCTTCTTGGGTGATGGATGGCACGCTCGGTTGTCTGCTTGGTGACTCTGTGGTCGCGGCTGCGTTGCGGAGCAAATACGTGTTCAAGATTGTACCGATGCTTAACGTCGAAGGGGTACTCAACGGATGGTAAGTAAATTTATATTTACTATAACGCGGATTCATGCGGCATTTAATATATGCCGCGGGTATCTATTATATGCCGCGAAAAGTTTTAAAAGTGTTGCGTTTTATATTTTAATTGCAACTTTTGAGGATAAGGAAATATGTATGTATAGGTATACAAATGATACAAGTTGAATGCCAAAGTTCAAACTTTATTAACTTCGCTAAATCACTACCAGTTAAATTCTTGATTTTTAACTTATGATAAACTAATTACGTCACTTCTATAAACACTACCTTAGAACACTATTCCGAATGATATGTCCCGAAGAAATGCACTTTAATTGTTAAATTACATAATACATAAAATTACGGTTCATGTTGAAATATCGATGAATTGACGATCAATCTAGTACGTAAACTAATCTTAATTTTAATGAAACGTTTTATTTTGCGATATCCACCGTATTCGGAAGACGGAGGCAAGTCGTTTAACACGAGTCGCCAGCATCTTCAACTGTATTACAATATTGCCCCATATAACCTACGAAATCACCATAGTTTTTTTTTTTTAAATGCTAATCTTACTTAACAGTACTACTAATACGATCCTAAAATCTCATTTATACATTACGATAATCGATGTACCAAGTGCAAAAGCAAATCTTCGACAAGCAAGCTATGAACGGGAATCGCACTGAAATCACTTATAGTAGAATAATACTCTTGTTAAACTCGGTCGCTAATCGATAATTTAAAAACGTACAACTACCAAGTCGGACTTTAATAAGCGGGGGGCGCCAACATGCCGCTGGCGTGGACGGAGTGCTCGGTGGCGTCCGGCTCGGCAGTCGATGCGATCTCGTCTCCAACGGGAGCGTCGTGAGCCTCGTTAGTCAGATACGCGGCCGGATCGTCTCCCACCATACCCTCATCATCTTCGTACGGACCCTGAGTGGGTTCTTCCTTCTGGTCCTGGTCGTGATCGCGGGAATGAGCGTCCGCAGCTCGCGAATAGTGGGAGTCGATTTGCGGTGGGGATTTGAACAAGGCGCTAGTCTTGAGGTGTGCAGACTGGAGGCCGTCAAGGGAAGAAGGTCGTAGCTTGCCGATGAGATTATTAAGGTTGAAGTGGGTAGGCAGGTGCTCGGAGCGCGGTGGCGGTGGCGAGGACGACGTGATTGGGTGGGCGGTCGTCGTCGTCGTCAGCGATAGCGGCTTTCTGTCAAACACAATATTTGACCCTCGTATTAGAGGACCACTGAGTAAATTTTCTAAAACTTTACGACGATAATTTCATAGTAATTACAAAAGTGTAATTGAAAATGATTTATGTTAGTAACTGAGAAAACGAATTCAATTTGTTAGAAACAAAACACTAATTGATTAAGAGATACCAAGCAAAGCCCCCTTCACCCACCCACCAAAAGATATATTTGATAATTTTGAAGCGTCTGAACAAACAACTGTATTAATATAACTGTTAAACTCTCATCATTTACAGCCAATATCTGCTGGGTGTAGGGCTCTTGTTTGGTGGTTGGGTTGGCGCAGAAGCCTTATCCCGCGGACCCGCGCGCGGTTCACAAATCCAAGGTTTATACTTGGCTTGTATTGTTAGCACAATCACAATTGTAACATGAAATATTCAAAAAAACAAAATAATATTGATGTCGTGTCGTCTTTTAGACAGTTCAATATTTTTATAGTACGAAAAATATATTTGTTTCGTATATATATATACAAAAATTACGCGCGCGGCTGTTGGGGAGCGGGCCTCCGGAGACGCTGGCATCTCACCTGGCATTACCCCTGCGCGGATGAAACGGGAATCGAGCCGTAGTTGTAGTAATAGCAACGCGTCTGCTCGCATATGAAGTCCTTGATCTCGCCGCAGTGTTGAGGCTCCCAGTGGAAGGTCGGAGCTTTGAGCGCGATGCAGCCGTTAGTCATGACGTGTTCCGTCCTGGAATACCGACTAGTTTTTATGCAAAAACATACGCTTAATATTAGAACCGTTGCGTTATAATCGACAATTGAATTTTGTTATTAAAATACGTACCCATGTCGGGCGGTGCGTTGTGGAGCAGTGCTTCCTTGTGGTACGTCTAGAGGGTCCATGCTGTCATCAGCGTGCTGGGCAGGAGCATCGATGGGCAGTCTCCGCATGTAGTTAAATGTCGCGTTAAATGGCAGACCGGTGCTCATCCACAAAAACATGTCTGTGCCGAGGTTATTACCCGATGTCCAGAAGTCATATTTGTTGTAACCTAAAATAAAATAAAAAATGTTACCAATAATACGCTAAAGGTTCCGATTTCATCTTGCAATACTCAAACATTTATTTTCTTTAGCAAAATTTAAGAAGCAGTTTGTTTAGTTAATTGAATTTGTTTTGTTTAAATTATTATTTAATTAATTAACGTAGTTAAAGAATTCTGAAAATCTAAATTGCTCACACAAAGGAATCTGTTTCTCGATCCAGTTTCAACGATGCAAAATTTTATGCTCAATTTAAGTAAGCATCTTATCACAACTATCAACTATTTAGTTTATTCTCGTTTTTAAAAACCGTACCTGCGTTTGTTAGATAAGTCGTTATCGAATCTGCCTTCTCCTTCGTCTCGAACGATGCCAGTTGAAGACCTAATGATCTGCAATCATATTTCCGATATTCAGAAAATCGTCGACTGTCTTCCCAACGTACAAAAGCTAATATACTTGATCTGTTTCAAACTAGGAATTCAGTACATTATATAATATAATATAATACCATAATATATATTATATATCTATAAACGAGCAATTCTTAATAAATATATATATAATCTGAATCTCGGAAACGGCTCCAACGATTTTCATAAAATTTAGTACACAGGGGATTTCGGGGGTGATAAATCGATCTAGCTACGATTTATTTTCCGAAAATGTTGTTTTATTCGTGTTTTCAATAATCAACTTTATCGATAATTTTGAATTTTTCTTCAAATCACCAGTTCATATTTTTTTATTGTTCTGTCGGTAAGAGCGAAAAATATTATTCATATTTCATCATTTGATCAAAATTTTTTTTTTTTTTTAGTAGTACCTAGATAAATATAAATAAATAATAAATATTTTGCTAACAATCACGCCACGTTAACTGGTCCCGTGATAAGCTCGTAAAGAACTTGTGTTACAGGTACCAACCAGATATCGGAAATAAATGTAAGATTTTTATTATACACATACATATATTTAATATACATCCATAACCCTGGAAAAGACATTTATATTTATCATACAAATATCTTCCCTTGGCGGGATTCGAACCCGCGACCCCCTAGTGTAGTGACCATGTCATACCACTACACCAGACGGACGTTATGACGGACGAATATGTAATTCGTATTTAAATATATTTTCTAAAAAACACAATTTATCAAAAAAAAAAAAGAAAAATACCGAACTCTCTCATCTGCTAGGTAAGTTTATACCTAAACATAATTTTAAATATCAAACGCTTTAGTTCAACGCACGTCCTAGTCGAGTTATTGAACTACGTACAGATAATATAATTCATTCGCTATAAGAACGAGCCGGTTCGGTTTATTGCGATGCTGTCAATGTATTTACTACGTTCCCGATACCGGTCCGCATTCCCTAGAATTCTAAGATATTATACTCTATCGGAGCTTATTTGTCTTATAAATTTATTACTCTCTAATGAAAAACTCAAAAACATACGCTAAAAGTTAAGACTAACAGTGACATTCGGTATGCTATTTTGTCTCATTTTTTATATACGTAACTAGTGTGTCATAGTTATATTCAATTAAAATATAAATAATTTTCCTGTCCTATGTCCTTTTTCTGTACCTCTGACAATGTGTATAAAACAACGTGAATGCGCCACACACCTTGTGGGCCACCGTAACAAACAAAAATATTTTCATATAAGGATATACTAAATAATAATATTAGATTAAACTAGATATGTCCCACGGTTTCACTGGCATTAAATTCATGTTGCATTTTTTCGGAGATCATCAGAACAAGTTAATTCACGAACTATGTATATTTATATATATATATATTTGTTATTGTCGTATGGACAATAACAAATATACACGGTGTTGCCCGGGTCATTTACTTTCATGAAACTATCATGTCTGGTGGCAGGACCTCTTGTGAGTCCACGCGGATGGGTACCACCACCCTGCCTATTTCTGCCGTGAAGCAGTAATGCGTTTCGATTTGAAGGGTGGGGTAGCCGTTGTAACTATACTTGAGACCTTATATCTCAAGGTGGGTGGCGCATTTACGTTGTAGATGTCTATGGGCTCCAGTAACCACTTGACACCAGGTAACCTGTGAGCTCGTCCACCCACCTAAGCAATAAATATTTTCGCACATTATCAGTTTTTTACCATAATGTCATCGAGGTATGATGATGTCGCTGTTTAAGGCAATCCTAAAAAAAAATATTATAATTGTTTTTATATGTGGAAACACACTAATAAGTATAGCAACACAGTTAGTTGCAGTTGCACAAAAAACTTTTTTTTTTTTATATGATTGAAAGTTTACTAGTGGCCCGAAGGCCTTTCCAGTTTCACCAGGACAGGTGGGCGAGCAAAGGCTCAGCCAAGAGGGGTGGGATTTGCTAACAACTGCCCGAGCGCCTCCGAAGGAGACCTAACAACTCAAGAGCAATTGTTTCGCGAATGAATCTACTACCGGATCGGAATCGCGACCCGCTGAGAAGATCC